ATATGTATTTTTTTTCGATTTTGTCTGATTTCTCATTTTGGCAGAAATCAATTGCTATTGCATTTTTATAATTTTGTAAGTAAAAATAAAATGTTGATCAACGATTGTGTATAATTAGACATAATATCTCGGGTCAATATCCCTACAAGCGAAAGGATTAAACTTTCTAGAGAAAGCGCGCTTCCGCGAACGGCGCTTGCGTGTCGCGTAACGCCACATGGAATCAGCCAGTGTCGGAGTTCGAGTTCGCTGTGGCGTCGAGTCGTAATGAAATTATAATGTTTCTTCTTTCGAATGAAGAAGTTATCAAATTAAATGAAATGAAATTCAATTTAAGATAAAAATAGGCGCAATGAAATAAAAACAATAATTATATATAATTGCAAAGCTGGAAACAAAGTTGACTCCAAATCTATCTTTTTTTTTTCACTTCAGAAGGATCAAGAGTATGAATAGTTATCTATTATATATAATTTTATTTGGCACAAAAATATATTACTCTAAATATTCTAAACAATATTTCATGTTTGCATTATGAATTTTTTAAGATGATAATCTTATTTAAAATCACTTTTAAGTATTCATACTATAAAACATGAACACTAGATCGAGTATACTCTTGTGAAGTTATAATAAATATCATTTCATTTGTTAGAATTTAAATATTATTCAAAATCAGATAATCTTAGTGTTTTGAATTAAATTTTGAGAGCGATTAATGACATCATATGATCTCCTTTAAATTAGGTGTTATCAAATTAATAATCTTATATATTAAAATAATTTTACATGGTTAATATTTATGAGAGACACGTCGAAAATGTAATTATAAACAAAAATTATTCTACACTTTGTAACTTAATCGATAAATTCAATATGCTTCATGAATTCAGATTTGAAAAAATGTATAAAAAAATATATATCTAATATTAAGTTACTGTAGAATAACTTTTAATATTTATTCCTATTCCTAATATTTCCTCCATTGTCTGTAGGGTTTAAAACCCATATTCTGAATCCTTTTATTCGATACAAAAATGACTCACAGCTAAACAAATAAGTCACTTTTAGAGGCACGTTTTATCACAAAAATCAGATAAAAGAGGGTTCAGAATATGAGGACTTAAGGAGAGGACTTAAGTCTGCACACAATGGAGAAAATATTAGGGACAAGGGAATAAATATTAAATTTTGAAAATGAAAATTTGGAATAAAAATTAAACGTAACGCACAATGAATATAAAGTGTAGAATATAGTTATATTTTATACTTACTCGTATTCATTGTGCGTTTAATTTTTATTCCGGACTTTTATTTCTAAAATTTAATATTTATTCCTAACATTTCCTCCATTGTGCGCAGGCCCTAATTCGGCCCTGAGATCGCGGCCCTGCGCAGTGAGTGAGTCACGGTGCAGGATCGCCGCGAGAGGCGCCGCCGTTAGTGCTCGTGGAGCGTTTTTACGCGTGGGTCTTTGGCGTCCTCGTCCCCCGTCCCGCACTTCCCTCGCACGAGAGAGCGTCCGATCGACGCGCCGCGGCGCGAGGAGAGTAATCTCAGTCGCTCGTCCAACTCGGCCGGTTGCTCAACGTCGCGCAACGCTCGACGCAGCGATCAGCGACGATCTCGCGCGAATCCTCGCAACGAACCGGTGACGAGTGTATAAAAGACAACCGGTTCGACGCATCTTTCGTCGACTCGGATTTTTCTCTCTCCGTTCCTCGCGTACGGGGATTCGGGACGCGAGACGCGTTTTTCGGCCTTTGGCCTTCGTTTGTCGAACGCGCGATCGACGGGTCAGTCGCCGCTGCGGCTCGCGTTTTCAGCTTTGATCGACGCTGCGCGTCAACGATGCCGGCGAGGACAGCTCGACTCGCGTGCGATTAATAACCGTGACAAGAATCTAAGGCACATCGGGTACGTAATGCTCCGTTTCTCGATACTCCATGTTGTTAACGATCTGAGCTGATATTCGGAGCTGCTTTTATTTCGATTTAATCCCTGTATTTTCACTCGCTTCGAACTCACTTTCCTCAGACACGTCGATATTCATGTAGCTCAAGCTGTGATCTGTCATTTATTTTTACTTTCGCATTTATTTATATATTTGTACATTTCGACGCGAGGAGGGAGTTTGAGCGCGTGATTGCATTACAGTGTTTGTGAATGAATCATCTGTTTCCAAAGCCTATCTCGATTGATTTCATTTTGTCTGTAATTCAAGAATAGAATAAAATGTGACTTTCTTTTTTTTAACTTTTGCTTAATTTTTTGCTTAATTTTTTATGCTTACTTTTTTATTTTCGTTTGTGTAAAATTTTCTTGTTGAAAATATTTGACAAATATTAAATATTTATAAAAAATTTATATATAAATATTTCTATTAAAAACACATTTGAAAAAATAAAAATTATATTATCTTCTTATTTGCCTGACTGAATTTTTATTCAAAAGTACTTCTAATAAAAATACTTTTACTTTCTATAAATGATAGAAAAATCTATCATATTATTTATTCGCAACTGAATTCTTAAGTCAAAAATATTATTTTATTTATAAGAATAAGAAACTATTCGTCATATTTCAAGTTAGGTTTTGAAAACTTCATATCATATATTTCTTCAGAAGTTGCATTCACATTAAAAGCCATGGAACTTTAAACGCTTAAAGCAAAAAGATTCGTGTAAAAAGAATACGATTTTATGTAATAAAATGTATATATGAATGTTTGCAAGTGAAGTATATTTGATAGGATGAGCGCAATGTGTTCGACATCGGAAGCAAGGGGAGTTTCTAAATTGGAGCTTATGTCGTATACATCGGCTTTGCATGCTCGAACTTTATTGTTACGTCACGTTCACAACGCTCAATGTTTTTGCATTTATTGCCGATTAATGGAGCACGCGGTGGTTCTTTGGCTTTATTCTTTTTACCCGCATTGAACATTTAAACGTGACTGTCATTGTCGCTTTTCATATCTGTGCATGACGCGCGATTCTCGATGTTGGGCAAACAAAATTCCAAGACGACATCGTATTCCGTGACAACCATATGAGAGACAGACAGAGAGAGAAAGAAAGAAGGAGTGAGAGAGAGAGAGAGAGAGAGAGAGAGAGAGAGAGAGAGAGAGAGAGAGAGAGAGAGAGAGAGAGAGAGAGAGAGTAG